CAAGACCACACAGCTGGTTACATGTTGGTGCTGGGACAAGAAGGCAAGTTGCAAGCTCGTAATTCTGTGAACTGCCTCTTTATTTCTATTGTTTCCAAACTACTGCAGGAAACAAGGGTGTATTGTTAGATTCTGGTAATTGATCAAATTGGTAGGCTTCTATAACTCAAATTAAGGGGATCCATGAAAGTAACAATCATCAAAACAATTTAAAATTAAGCATCTCCATCTTACGCCACAAAAATCCCCCTCCCCCTAAAATCCCAAGGATTTCCATTCTTTTACTCTGGATTTGTGTAGTTTAAAATTTAGACTGCCTTCTTTGCTGGTAAGTTGTATTATTATGCATTTTTCTCCTGAAGATATGCTTTCTTGTTGGGGCATTGCCACCAAATGGTCATGTGGCCTTTGGTGGGTCACTTGGCCTCATTCTGCCTGTATTACCAGCTTTATCACAACTCACAAGCTGACTTCTACTGTTCCTCTAGCACACTTTCATGTTTCTGTTTCTCTAAGTAAAATAACTGTAAGCTTCCTAAAGTGATTATAGCGCCTCCTTGTATTTTTATAAGTTTACTGTATTGTAAGTATTTAATAAATGTTTGATGATGGCATTGAAGGTCCTATTGGTACACTTAACTTGAGCAGATTTATAGGAAATCATTGTTGACCACCTTATTAACAATTAGCTGTCTATAATGTGCATATGTAATTTTCCTTTACATCAATAAAACTTCTGCTCTTGGTGTAGAGGAAGTATTGCCCCTCACATCAGTTCTTTCAAATGTTAATACATTAGCTACTGATATCTTATTTGTACTGTAACTGACAGGATAATGGAGAGAGAAAGAGCCTAAATAGGAAGAGGGGTTAGTTAGGTAACATTGTATAGGGCATCTTCAAAACAATAGTTCTGCAATTTCAAATGTCAAGCTAATTATCGGCAATGTTTAAATGCTATAATAGGCCATTTTTGCAAATGTTGAAATTTTCCAGCAGGTATAGACATTATAAAAATGTCACATTTTGCTACTGTTCTCTTACATGTCACCAGAATACAAAACTCTGAAAATATAAGTTACAGCTGTGGACAATAAAGAGAAGCTGTTACTTACTTTGCTTTTGACTATAAAATTAATTGTCACATCTATAGAATTTAGAGTATTATTTACTTGGGAGGAAGAAGAGAGTGGGTTTAATATAATGATATCTGGCAAGGTGAAAATAATGCTTATTATAGATCAACTATGCAACCTTTTAAATACAAGTTTTTAGTAATGCAGATTCAGATATATCTTTCCAGACCCTCTTGCTATAAAGCAAATTTAAGTATCGTCTTTATACCCTTTGGTAACCCCACATCACACATACAGTTCTAGAGCAAATGAAACTTTAATATGATTCAACATAAAACGGTAAGCCATGCCAATAATTCATATGCACTTCATATGCAAATAGTTTCATCTTATCCATCAATTATTGTGTAAACATGATATCACATGGCATATTTCCCTGTAATACAGTACAGTACCTGTACATAATTATGGGTGTATTTTGCCAATGCGACTGTTACCCAGAATTGTAATTAATTTCTCTGAAGATTACTGTGAGAGTTTTGGATAATGATGCTGTTTTTGGACATTTATTACTGCTCTTTAGTTGGCTTTTTGCTGTGCCTCAGAGACAGTTGTAAAATTAGTGTCTATTTTGAGCCAGCGAACAGTACATCTTCCCTCTTGTTTATCTAATAGCAGAAAGGAATTCTTTGGGCTCTCACTTCTTTGTGGCTTTTGAAGTAACTATTTTGTGCTAGCCTGTAGCTCCAATACATGTATACAATTGCATTGAGACTTATATTAGGGGTGATGTATATGACCTAATACAATGACCAAATAAACTAAGCCAAGGTCTATGCTTTTAAGTTTTTAGAACAGTTTGGAGTGCAAGTTCAACAAATAGGTGCTTGCAGAAACCCAGTGTCCCTCATGGGCTAAGTGTGATGGTGTGTGCCTTTTTCAAGCATTTGGGAGACTTAGGCAGGCAGATCTCTGTGAGTTCAAGGCCAGACTAATCTACGTGGCAAGCTCCATGACAGCCAATACTATATAGTGAGACCCTGTCTTTAAAAAAAAAAGTGTATGCTTAGTTATTATATAAAATTTAACATCTTATTTACAGATAAGGTTAAGGTATATTGTTAATATCTCACATGGTATGAACCTACATTTAATTAAAAATTTAAATGGGGTAAGTCTACCATGTACTGGCCTTTACCTAGGGGAAAAAATTGATGAAAATTGTCCCAAAACTTTCTCTGAGAAAAATCTACCAATTAGACCTGAGGGAAATGTTTAGAAGAAAATCTGAAGAGTTCAGAAATGGGGATAGTTACAGGAGTGCAATCCAGGACTGTATTGTTGGATATAATTTTGATCATCAGTAGGTCAACCCGAAAGAACAGAAAGAAACGTACTCTCACTTGAATTTAGATATGAAAACTAAGTCTTCTATAAATTGCTTTACCTGGATTAACAGCAACAACAACAACAACAACAAAAGAGCAGGGGCTAATGTAATGGCTTATTAGAATGGCGATCCTAGTTAACACAGCTCTGGAAAAGATGGCATACTGCATCTGTAAGTGAACTTGACAGCAGTTATTTATTTAGTTTAAAAGTATTTACTACTATTTGTGAGTGGAAACCCTAAAGGTTGTGAAGTATTGTTGGCCTGTGAAGGTGATGGATGCTGTACTCCTGACCCTATATGGTGAGACATGACTTCATTGCTTGTTTAGATTGTTCTGATATTTGGGACTCCTCAAGGGCTGTTCATAAATCATTTATCTCTCTCTCTCTCTCTCTCTCTCTCTCTCTCTTTTTTCTCTACGAGAAAATATTTCAATTGTATTGCTGCAGGAACACTCACGTGTCACACGGGATATTGTAGTCCATGCAGAAAAAGACCTTAAAAGGCATGTTTTTTTTTTTTTTTTTTTTTTTTTTTTTTTTTTGCAGGATAAAGGCCTTTTAATGCCTGTCCAGCCTTAGATAATTTTATTCACTCCTCTGGACCTTTCTTTATCCCTCCTGTGCCCAGAGATCAGTTTTTAGGACGTGGATTGAAGGCTTCCCAGGCCTTAGGAGCTTTTGTTGGAATACCCCCCCTTACACACACACACACTCTGCCCCCACTCAGTGTTCAGAAAATTTGTAAAGAATCTTCTGCTTGTTGCTAAGAAGTGGTTAAATCTCAGTCACCAGGGGGAAGAAAGCAGCACATTATTGATTGTACTAAGGTATATGTGGGCCACACAGCTAGAGCAGAGACGTTGGAATATCTCTCTTTTTGTAGATCTGAGGGCATTACCCAGCCTGAACTTGCCTAAGCCCTTGTGGTCACACCTCTTGAAAAGGTTTTGTTTCCCCCGTCAATTGGTATTCAAACCAGGTCAGCAGATTCTGTTTGCCCGGCTCCGCTGCCGTTTTCATTTTAATTTGCACCTGTTGTGCAGTTGTTCGGAAGGCAAGTGCAGACCCGCGGATTATACAAAGATCATATTATGAGCAGATATGCACGGTGTAATCTTTTTGTCCCCAGCCTCACATGACAAAAAAAATCTCTCTCTTTTTGTTCCTTTTTTACTCCCTGGGAACCTGTCAAAGCAAACAGATATGACTGACTAAAATTTGTAACTAGACATGTTTCCAGAATTCTCCAAAAGCATTATGAACCTGACACACAATCCTTTTCAATTTTTTTTCCTCCTTTTCCGCCACTTTTGTATAATCCGATAGCTGGCAAGAGCCACTTGAGATAGCTCAGTTGATAACTTAGCGGAGGATTGCTTTATTAGGCGCAGAGAAATCAAAATGAACCTGAAAATTGTTTGCGCTTTTTTTTTTCCCCACTGGCTTTTTTCCCCCCTCTTTCTCTCTCCCTCTTGTTCCCATGATGTCATGGTTCTGACTTGTTTTTTTGTGTGTGTTTCTGGAGAGTTGGGTTAACAGTTCTTGGCAATCCTGTGTGTGTGTAACGGCTGGTGTGTTTCTCTAGCTGAGCTAATACCCCGTGTTTATTACTCTAATCTTTCTTGTCTGGTGGTAAAGTGGACAATTTATGTACTAGCATGTAGGCCGAGAGCCTGTGAGGGCTGACTAATTCAGAAACAGCCACCTTCAATTGAGTTCACAGACCTTATTTACAGGCTGTCTATTTTAAGAAAAGCTACTGAGCGTTGCTGGGACTGAGGGCTGCAGAAGCAGCTCACTCTCTCTTGTGAGTTATTTTAACATTTGTGTTGGTCTTGCCTGTGTCACTTTGAAATTTTCTGTAATTATGACACTATGAAGACATCTCAATAGCAGTATTAATGGCCCAGAAGATATGGCTTTTCCTCATTTTCTGCTTAAAAGATTGGGATATAAATTACCTTAGCTCATGACAGTTAACATAGAAGAGAAAGTAAGCATTTCAGATTGAACAGGTTTGTGTATGTGTCTGTGCACTGGACAAATGGAGAGAGAGAGAGAAAGAGAGAGAGAATGTCTATACTGTTTCTAGGAACAAAACTACAGTTAAAATACTGAAGTCATCTTGTATTTATAGTACAATCTCATATAGTAAACATGTCATGTCACTGATCTAATAAAACTGTCAACTGTAGATCTATTTTATAAGTTTTTGTGAAGTGTGGAAAGTGCAAACTGCACTATGTCTTGTTATGTGGGCAATATAAGCATATGTTAAGTGGTTGTACTTCTGTTGCTTTTTAAAATTTCCATCATTTTTAGTAAAATATTTAAGAGTACCCAGCTACAATAGAATCGATGGAATAAGGATACAAATGCTAAAATATTATGGATAATAATTATATTTTCCTAACATGGTTGAGTAATTTAGTTATGAAAATATTAATTATTTTCTAAACTAAACTAAACATTTGGGAGCACCGACATTTTCAAAGCAGCACTTAGAATGTCTCTGTGTCTCTTCCACAGTGGTGAACTATGACAATGTAGTGGACACAGGTTCTGAAACAGATGAGGAGGACAAGCTTCATATTGCGGAGGATGACAGTCTTGCAAACCCTCTGGACCAAGAGACCAGTCCAGCTAGCATGCCCAACCATGAGTCCTCCCCACATATGAGCCAAGCTCTGCTACCAAGAGAGGAAGAAGAGGATGAGATAAGGGAGAGTGGAGTGGAGCACAGCTGGCACAGCAGTGAGATTCTGCAAGCCTCTGTAGATGGTCCAGGTAAGTGTCTAGAACAGCGCGGCCCTTCCTGTGTGCCTTCCAACTCCTCTATGCTGCCTAGTGGAACACCTGCAGCCACAATAATTAAAATACTTCTCTTCGTTGCCCCTCCAGAATAGAGAGCAGAGCTGTTGACAGAGTATGGAGTGAAAGCAATGTGGTCACATTACAGCACTTAAAGTTTAGGAAAACATTGTGGGCTGGTTTCAATGCAAGCTGGATATCAACTATGTTTGTAATAAACACATAACATGAAGTACGTGTCCATTTGAACAGTGAAAATCACAGAACACAATCAAAAATCTATGTTCTCATGACTGAAAGTAGAAAGAAACGTAAAGGCTTGTGTCTGAGTCTGTGTGTGTGTGTGTGTGTGTGTGTGCTATTTGGAAATCATATTATTTCAAACTGTCATTTTACTTTAGTTCATTCCTGACATCTCCTATTGTAATATAACCATATAATAATTTCTCTTTGTTAAGTGTGAATGTAATTTCACACTTTTACCTGGTCAGGTAGCCTTTTTATTATTTAACAGTTAAATACTTGATAATGATTTCTCCTGTTTGACAGTAATCTTAAGGGAAATAAAAATGGTCCAATGCCAAATTTAATAAAAGGAAAACAGATTAGGTTCAAGTTAAAACTTCTGGTGTCACTGCACAAATGGAAATGTCTTAACCTAAAATTCACCTATAGCAGAACCTCACTAACCTATGATGTGTTGGTGAAAGTATAGAGGGTTCTGCTTCATAAACTTAAGTGGCCTATAAAAATTTTGTAATTGTCCCCTCTGATTCAGACTTTGTGTCTCCTTAATCTCTATTCCAGAGCCTAATAAGGACTACTATTATGTAGTACTATTATGTACTTTTTCTTTCACAATATAAATAATTGTATCATTTTTATAAATATGTGTAGAGGGCCAGAGAGAGTCTACCTATCTGTTATTGTGATGTTGCAAGCTACCAAACACTGGACAGAGGCAGAGTAATTGTTTAGTGTATGAAAGGATAATAAAATCAGGTCTACTGGTGAAGAAAATTAAGTGTGTGTGTGTGTGTGTGTGTAGTGTGTATGTGATGTGTGTATGGTGTGTTGATGTGGGGGGGGGACTGAGGGCAGTTTGAGTGTGGTGTATTTGTTTTTCCTTTTCCTAACATACTGTGCCAAGTTTGGTACTCTTTCTGTTTCCAATTTTGCTTTCAGTGAAGGTTTCTCGAATCTCAGCAATCCCACACATAAACATTTATCGTTATATCCATTAAGACTTAAGGTTTTAGATTTTCAACTATGAGGGAGAACTCAGCCAAAGATGCTTGAAAGATAAATACGTTTAATTAGGGGCAGAGGATGATCATTAAAGGAAGTCTGACTGCTGCAGAAGTCATTAACAATCTTAAATGAAATTTTTATTTTTATGATAGCCATTTACATGTATAATAAGAGCCAATGATTCTTGGGAGCAGTGTGACAGAAACAGAGTGTGGCGAGAACTCATGTAAGACATACTATTTAAATGAGCTGGTGTTAGCTATTCATATTTGTTAATGAACTAGATATGCAGGGCTATAAGAATGAATGTTCTGATGCTTTAAATTTTAATATCTAGAAATCAAGGGTAAGGACCAATTACCAGAATTTTCACCCTTAAAGGAATAATTAATAACAGTATAACAAATGTACAGCCCCAAACTTCTTCTTAAAAAGTTTAATTAAAAAAAAAAAAAGATCAATAGTTGAAAAAGAGCCAAAACAGCACTGTCAGGCTGTAGTAGGACCTTGTGACTTGGTATTTTGGTGACTTGTATTTTGGTGTTGGTCATGGACAATCTAAATACACAGAGATCCATCCGAATGTCCTGCACACCCTGCTGTCACCTGTGGTTAATGGAGGCTGTGATGTAAGTGCTCTTACCTTTAGAGAAATACACAAGCATTCTGGACTCACAATAATTAAATAAAATGTAAATCCCTAATCTCATTAGGCTATTTAGACCAAGAAAGTTACCCAGCTATTACCTGTCTGCTTCTAATGATTAGTGATGATTTACTGTTCTTTTTTATTATTGTTCTAAAAGTGCTCTGATGTGGTGCCTTGATGTCTAATGAAAAGAAATTAGTTTTTAAAAGCTCCTCATTGTTTACCCTGACTTGTAGATAACACATTTTTCTTCTGATAAAATATTTTTCTTATTTATTGTTCAAAACACACAATATAGACAATAATTCTAATTCTGGTGTGTTTTATTTAGGAGTGTTTTCTCCCCGGTGCCTGGCTGTCTGCGGTCGTACCTCAGCACATAACTTTCCCCTGAGATAAGGCCCCTCTCCATTGCTCTTTCTCCCCTACGCTGTATAGTTTGTCTGCAGGATGCAGGTTTCACACTGAAGAGTGTAGTAGAGTTCTTACTGTGCCTTTCCGGTCCTAGCACAATCAAAGTTTTGTGTTTGGAGCTGTCCTTGACATTCTTTCGTCCCACAATGGGGTGGACACAGTGTGCTGGAAACCATGACATCATTATCATTGACACAGACTTAAATAAATCACCTGCATCTTGGCCTCATTCTGCTTATTCAAGGATTCCTCATCCTACAGAAGAAAGTGTTCTTTATTTTTACAAACCTTTAGCCCAAGGGTGACTGGAAAATGCAAACTTTTACAAGTGTTTGAAAAATAAATATACTATGTGGTCTTAGACACAGAAATGCTGAGTCAAAGGTGTCTTGAAAAAGGTTAGACAGGTGGAAGGAAGCCAGCAAGACTTGCCAATAATTCAGAGGAGGTATACCTAAAGTACTTGTCATGTCCTTTTGAATATGGATTTACATAGACTCCCAACATCTGAAAAGGGTCAGTGACTCATCTTAATAGAAGAACTTAATAATCAAAAAAGGAAAAGCCTTAGCTCAGAAAGTTGAAGTAAAATATATTCCAGGTAAAAGGTGCATCATTGCCTCTGACCAGTTGTGCAATCGTTGGTAAAAGATGGTTAGAAGTAAACAATGCACTGTGCACAAAGGGCCTACTATGTGTCTATACAACTGAAATTTATAAATTTGGGGAGTAGCCAATGACTGTAACTTCTCTTTACCTTTTCATAAGAAAATGACAATGAGGAAGGAAGTACAGCAGAGATCTTGAACATTACCACCATTATGCAAAAAGTAAAAATAAAAAAACTAGAAGCTGTTAACCGTTTTCTCCTCTGTGGCTCGATGTGCTCTCAGATGGAAAACTTACGGTTCTTGTGACTCTTGGCTACCAGAAATCACATGAGATGAGTTGAGAACAAAAGGCACAAAAGCTATATTTATATCCAGTGCTGAACTCAGAAACACTCATTTAGTTTCTTTCAGGGACCAATAAAGATACCAAAAGGAGTTTCTCAAACCATTGATTATTACAATTGTCCATATAATGTTGCTGTGTACTACACTTCTAAGTGTTTCATGCAAAATGTCCCTGTAAACATGTTCCTGGAATAAAGGACATGCCTAGGGTCAGGGATTAATTTGAAGTGGGTGCACAATCTAAATAAGTGTTATTAAAAATCATGTGACTCTTTTGAAGAATGGCATTAAATTAGCATTTATGTGTGTTTTTGCATCTGACAGGAACATGCCATGTCAGCTTTGATCTCACACAGATACAGTCACTTTTGCTGTAATGTTTTCTAGTGACTGTTTTTCCACCACAATAGTGTATTATGTGAGACGCAGAACATGATCAGGGTAAATTTGAGAGTTCTACTTACAGCTCTTCATGTTATAATGAAATGATTACAGCACAGAACTCCTCATCTTGGATCATGTCCTGTTCTCATTAGTATTGTCACTGTAAAACTACAGGTTTTAAAAGTCCATGTTATGTTTGTTTATTTGAAATATTTTTAACTGGCAGCTTGCCTTCCACATACTCTACAATGTAGTAGAAAGAGAAAATTCCTATATTCTCCTTTGAAACTATTACCATTTTCAAAAATGGCCTTCAATCATTCATGAGTCTCACCTTCAATGTTACATATTTTCATCTTAATTAAAACATTAGGATATTATTTCCTCTATATTTTTCATCAGAAAGTGAGTATGAATACTCATGGAAGCATAAATGCCCAAACCAAAAAGCTGTTTGCGAAAGATGGGAGAAAGGAATAAGGAAATCAGACCTTAGAATTTTACATAAAATGGTGAATGGATGTTTTTAATATATCTGAGACATTTGTTTGTAGAACTAGGCATTCCAAGTTTTGATTTCTAGAATTTGGGATTTTTAAAAAGTATGCTTGCTTATACTAACACCATCATAGCAACCCCAAGGGGAAGGAAAGCATGTAAATAAAATGAGAAACTCTACCTTGCCACTAAGCACCCAGTTACCATGTCTCTTCCTAAGATCAAATACTTCGTCACTTTTGACTCAGCTCTAATTGAAAAGAATAACTTCTCCCCCTGTTTGCCACTAGAACTGCCACCAAAAGAAAAGCCCTTCGTTTGCTTCAAATAAGCACCTCTGTTTTTTCACAGCTTGCAATAATGCTTTAAAGTAAATAAGTTCTTGTACAGCCAGCACCGTTGGGTTCATTCAGTTGCTGAACAAAGCTATTGTTCTACAACAAGTCTTTTCTGTTTTCCTTCAAAGACACCTCCTTGTTCCTATGTTTGGCATGCTTAGTGTAGTTAGCCTTTTTATAATTTCCAAATGCTAAAGATAATTTTCCCCTGCAGAAGAAATGAAGGATGATTATGATGTTATGGGGCCAGAAGCCACGATCCAGACCACGATTAACAATGGTACAGGTAAGTGCCATTTATATAGCAGCATCGTGTTTGTTCTGTACCATGGTTTCCCGAATCTGATAAAACACGGACCCATCATTTTTGCCTCCATGGATAACAAGAAGTTAGACTTCACAAATCTGTTTTTTGTTTGTTTGTTTTTGTTTTTTGTTTTTTAAATTAGAATTTACCACATCTTTTGCTTTACTAAAGCAAATTTGTCCTCCATTCTTTACCCTAATTTGCCTCTACAGCTAGGGAATATTGAATTGTATGAATGGATCCTTTCACAGCATGTGTTGTATGAATTTCTAGTTGTCATTGTTGCTTTAAAAGTCATTTTAAATTATAATCCAATACGCTTATATTAGCTACCACTTGGTATCTGTCATTGAAAATTCAAATGAGATGATGTACTATAGAGTACACAGTGTTTTCCCAAAGCCAAATTTCCATGAACATTCCTTATAAAAGTTAATCATTTAATTTCTCTCAAGTTCTCTCTTCACTTCTAAATCTCTGCATCTGCTAGAGGTACCAAACAATATTTCTCAGACAGACTTTTAAACAAGAGTAGAAAATTTCACTTCTTCTTAAAAGAACTAATGAATAACCGGGAGAAGCCAGTAAAATGGTGTTTTGCTTGGCTCTGCTCCTGCGGGAGAAGAGAGGTTAAGTATTCTCCCTCAAATACTGAACAACATCTCTTCCCATAGTACAAAGTGACACGGATTCACTATGTGTACATCTCTTTCTGTATGACACTATATTCATGTTTCAGTCTTCCATACCACCATTGCAAATATTAGCACAGACCCAGTACAAAGTCATCTCTTAAAACAAAACAACAAAAATCACATAACTGTTTTCCTTCAACTTTCCAATTAAAAAAAATGTGGCTTCAGAATTGTAAATAATTTCTCGGTGATGGTGTCACATTACTTCAATCCCAGCACTCAGGCAAGCAAATCTCTTAGAGTTTGAGGCCAACCTGGTCAACAGAGTGAGTTCCAGGACAGTCAGGGCTGACATAGAGAAACTATGTCTCAAATAACATAAAACAAAAACAAACAAACAAAAAGTGTAAATAATTAAGATGATATTCACAATTTCCTTAACTTGATATACGTCATAATGTATTGCTCATGCTGTCTGTACATACTCTCATTAATGACTTAAGAGGAACCAGCTCACTATCTTGGGTGCAAAGTAAAATAAATGATTTTGAAAAACTTTTGTTTTTACTGATTTGAATAATGTGAAATTGAGTACAAAACTGAAAGTATACAACCACATGGTTCTAGAAAATTCATAGTATCATGCACTGATAGCTCTAATTTCTAGATGCAGCTTTGGCAATACCTAGATTATGACCTTGGGAAAATCAATAATTTCTTTGGAACTCAGTTTCCATATCTGTCCAGTGCATATGCTAAACTAGTTAACTGCTCAGAATAATTCTAGTTTTATTATTATATGTTGCTGGAATACTGTTGCCTTATAGAAATTGAAACAAAACCAAATAATTTCACATTAAAATATAATAGTAATATACCATGAATTAAGGACTCTCCAAAAATATTCAGTTTGTAAGTTACAAAATGGCTTCAGATTCCTTTAAAGTAAAATGTTATGTGTCAGCTTCCAGCATTAATAAAAGCTGATTTTGTTTCCTTTGCAGAGCACTGAAAGTGCAACAAGGTAACAATTTAATAGTGTTGTAAATACCTGACTCCAAAGTGAAGTTAACAAAAATTGTTCCAATCCATGAGGGTTACAAATCAATCTTGAACACCCTTTCAACAGACTTTAAGATCCCTTTTCTCCTAATACTCACTGTTCCTTAAGCTTCATACGTATTCAGTCAATAAACAAATCAATACATGTTCATTGAGTGTTTTCAATATAGTCCCTGTTGTGTGTATGTGTGGGAGAAGATGGGCCAGGAAGACTGAGCCATGGTTATTATTTAAATTGGGAGATAAGCCTAATTCACATGAAAAAATAATGAACATTAAGTGAAAATATGTGATAAATATGCAACAAATGGTAAGAGCCATAATTATTTGAATTACAGAAATAGAGAGAACCCTCAAAGTGGGAATTTGTATAGGTTTTATGAAGGAAGTTGAATTTGAATGAAGTATAGTTTCAGTAGTCAGGAAGGTACAGGAAAAGAAGAAGTAGAATAGCTAAGCCAAAGAGGAAAAAAATATATTATCTAGTCAGAGGATAGTGGGTAAATTGAAGGCAATCAGAATATAATATATTAGAGGATATAAAGAATGTATCAGAAGAAATAAGTTGGATCATTTTCTACTGCCATGATGTCTCTGGGGAAACCAGACGTAGAGTTTAGAGTTTAGATAGAAGCCCTATAAACCATTGTTATGTGGCCATAAGTACTTAAAAAGAAAAAAAAAAGAAAGAAAGAAGAAAGAAAGAAAACAGAGAGAGAGAGAGAGAAGGAAAGAAAGAAAAGAAGGAAGGAAGAAAGGAAGAAAGAAGTTTGTCATAGGTGGTGAAGTAGGGAAATTTTCAACAAGACCATTTAATAACTGAATGGCATGAGTAAAGTAGCCCCAGGAGCATAGTGATACTTTCTACTTGTGGATCTATAGGTCTACTCATCTTTGAGAAGATCTTGAATCAGTCTTCAGATAATATTTTCATATAAACGTTATACATGCATGTAAGTGTATATGGCGTGGGAGCATGAGGCAGAGTGGAGAGTGTTTCTTCTCATTTTTAATTGAAATTCAAGGCCTGGAGAAGATGTGAGAGTCATGCAAATATATTCAGATAGTATTTAACATGATAGAACTGTGAGATTTACAATAAAGAGAAGATCTATTGAAGGAACTAGAGTATTAAGAATGGGCTTCTTAATAGGTGGAAAGAAAAATAAAATTCACTGAAAAATAAAAGATTGTAGGGAAAGAGAAAACACCAATCCTAAAGCAAAGAAAGGTTTTATAAAATGGTCAACTTAATTAAAAGCTTCAAATAACTGCAATGCTGAGCCAACACATTGGACTTGGTGATTAGAAATTTACTGGTACTTCTCAGTTTATGACTTGGTCCTCTCAGAGAATAAATGAGATTTTTTTTCCCCCTCACAGACATAACTTTAGTAAGTTTTAACATTGGCACATATTTTTGAGCATTAATTGAAATGAAATTGAGCTAATGTACCTTTTCCATTGGGTCCTTCCTTCGTTTTCCTTCCTTCCTTCCCTTCTTTCTTTTTCTTTTGGAGTCAGGGTTTCTAATCCTACCCAAGTGTGGGGATGATAGGCATGCACCACCATGCCTGGGGTTCCTCTACCTCCCCCTTCTTTTATGTCATTCTGGGGGTTGAACTCTGAGTACCATGCATGCTAGGCAAACACTCTGCCAACTGGAATAGATCCCCAGCCCTTGGATTTTTTTTTTTAATACCATTTCCTTTTCTTCTCTGAAATCCTGGTCTACAGAATGAATTTTAGGGCAACCAGGGCTATGCAGACAAACCCTATCTCGAAAAACAAAAACAAAAGCGAAAGAAAGGAAGGAAGGAAGGAAGGAAGGAAGGAAGGAAGGAAGGAAGAAAATGAAATGAGGGTATTTCCTTTCACATTCGCTCCTCATTAACTTCTTAGAAAACAAAAAATACATTTTTAAAAATTGTGTGTGTGATATGCATGTACTCATTAGTATGAATGTGTGCACATGTGTTCATGTTCATATTCAAGCAAAGATCCATATTGGTGTGATTGGTCTCCACCTTAACTTGTGAACAATGTCTCATTGAACCTAAACCTCATTAATATAGCTAGACTGGCTGGACAGTGGGCTTCAGGCATCTGCTGCTTTCCACCAGTATACCTTTAGCACTGGGGCTATAAGCACATGTTGCCATGCCTGACTTTTCACTGGAAATCCAAAACTGAGCCATCTTTGTAGGTTCTCCCACATACTATACATAACAAATGACTGATATCCATCAATCTTTCTCTCCCACACCCGTGTGTGTGTGTGTGTGTGTGTGTGTGTGTGTGTGTGTGTGTGTGAACCAGGAAACCACAGGTCAGGTCAACCTTGAATGTTGTTCCTTAAGAACAGTCCATTTTTTTTTCCTTTTTTTTCTTCTTCTTTTTTTTTTTTTTTTTCTTTTTTTGAGACAGTCTCTCACTTGGCCTGAAACTACTGACTAGGGTAGACTTTACTGACTGGTCATCAGGTGCCAGCAATCCACCAGACTCCACACATTTGGCTAGAGACAGAGGTTACAACAGGGTCTTATGATGTAGACTTGGCTGGCCTGCAGCTCACTCTGTAGGCCAGGCTGACCTTCAACTTATAGAGATCCATTTGCTTCAGCCTCACCAGTGCTGTGATCAAAGGTGTGTGCCACTAGGCCTGACCATAAGGAACATTTTAATGGGTCCTGGAGATCAAACCCAGGTCCTTTTGCTTACAGAAATAGGCACTTTACCAACTAAGCCATCTCCCTAGCCACTGACCAGACAAGTCTGAAAGCTTCTGACATCCTGGAATATCCCGAAAGTTGAACTTCCATTATTCTGCTGTAGTATTTGAAGTCCAAGTATGAGAAAAAATCAGGGAGATTGTCAATTACTACCTGCATTTTTTCAATGAGTCTTCTACCTCACTTCATCTTTCACTAGCACCCCTAATTAATTATAGGAGATAAAGCTTTAATATCACTTATATATAATGATGGCAAATCTGTCAACTATTTTTTCATAACTGACTATCATCAGGGTTCATTTTTTTCCCATCTTGAATAACCATCAACAAACTTTTCACTTGTTACTCATTTAAGCAGGATTCAAACTGAGGCTTGGGGGGAGATAAGCTTTAATGAAGCAGAATATTTAATTTGTGTCCTTATGGAACAAAAAGTTTTATGGGGAAATGGTGAAGAAGTCATCATCATCATCATAGCTGAGTAATACTTTATTGTGTGAATATACCACATTTTCTTTATCATTTCTTCAGCTGAGAGACATCTAGGC